AACACTGACAATACCAAAAGTTGATGAGTCCTTGTGGAGCAACAGGAACTCTTACTCATTGCTGATGGGAATGCAAAATGGTACAGCTGTTTGTATGACATTCTTGTCAGACAGTCCAGCAATTGTATTCCTTGATATTTACCAAAATGAATTAAAAACATGCCCACACAAAAAAACCTGCGTACAATATTTGTAGCAGCTTTATTCATAATTGCCAAAACTTGCAAGCAAACAAGATGTCCTTCAACAGGTGAATGGATGATCTTTCATACAATGGAATATTATTCAGTGCTAAAAATAAAGTGTGTGCTCAAAGCCACATGCAAAGGCATAAAGGAGACTTAAACACGTATTACCAAGTGAAAGAAGCCAATATGAAAATGTTACATACTGTATGAGTTCAACTATATGACATTTCAGAAAAGGCAAAACTGTGGAGACAGTGAAAGGATCAGTGGTTGCCACGGGTAAGATAAGAAGGATAGGCAGAGTACAAAGAACTTTTAGGACAGTGAAACAATTCTGTATACTACAATAGTGAACACATACAATTATACATTTGTCAAAACCTATAAAGTGTACAACACCAACAGTGAACCGCAATGGAAACTACGGACTACCTGTGATAATGATGTGTCAATATATCTATTTAATAAATTTACCACTGTGGTGTAGGATGTCAATTTGGGGGTATAGGAAACTCTCTGTACTTCCCTCTCAACTTGGTTATGAAACTAATACTGCTTTAACAAATTAAGTTTATGAATTAAAAAGAAGAGAACTGATGATGTGGCATAAAATATAAAACAGAGGTGCCTGAAGGCAATATTTCCATATTTATGTTGTCAAAAAAGTAAGTAATTTTTTTGTTCACAACAAAAACATTTTTATTTTGCAAATAAAACATATTTGAATTTTTAAAAAGAATGTGTAAACCTTTAGAAAGAAAGTAGTAATTATCTAAAATTGTATTAACTATGAACACTATTAATATCTTGCTGACTATACCTTAATGTATTTTTGCACATCTATGTGGGGGTGTGTGTGTGTGTGTGTGTGTGTGTGTGTGTGTGTATGGCCAAGCTGGTCTTGAACTCCTGGCCTCAATTAATCTATCCGCCTTAGCCTCCTAAGTGCTGAGATTACAGACATGAGCCACCATGGCTGGCCTATGTGGTATAATTAAAAAGTTATTTTGTTTATATTTTTGAACCCTTATTAAAATTATAATAGATTTAAATACAAACAGCTCATCAGATTTAAAAATATATATTTAAACCTTTAGAATAATACATCTAATAATAATTAATGGAAAGGGTTCATAGGGAGAATTGTATATGAGAACATTTAATTTTATTTGATCTTACAAAATGGCACTCAACATAGCATGCATATAGTTCCATGAGTCCTATCTATGGGAAAAATTAATCTTTAGAAGCAAAGCCAAAATCAATAAAAATATTCTAGAATTCAAGCAAATCAGCATTATAAAACCAATCTTACTTTAGTATAGCTGAAAGTCAGGTTATTTTATGTCAGGTGTTTTCTGGAGGTATACAAAGCCATAGAGTACAGGATATGAACATTCAGTACATTAGAAGTGGTTCTGAGTAAGAGATCCCTTTCAGAAAGGTTGTATATGGTTACCCTATAGAAAGGTTTCCTCCTTTGTTGATAACCAGGGAGAATCAGGCACCCTCTCCAGAAGATTAAGACAGAGGGTGTGAAATTCCAATTTTCATGCCTCAGGGAGAAAGGGTATTGCTCAAGTTCTAAGAAAAAGATTAGATCATTATTCTAGGAAGTGGACTGTCAAAAAAGATAGAAATTCACCACATATAGACTGATTCTTTTCTTTCCACATGGTTGAAGCAGTAAAAGTTTCTGGCCATCACTTTCTTACTTCACAGATGCTTTCTCTCCTTCCTTACAACATAGGAACTAAATCAGCACAAGGATGCTTCAGATGTACGTGGCAGGGAGTGGGGATGGCCGGGGGAGGAAAAGAGGGGAGCTAGGCTGCCTCTGACATAAATATTTTGGGAAATGCCCCCATCTCTTTCCTTTTGGCTCCCATGGGTGTGACTCTCTCACAACGTATTCCTTCTAAAATTCATGTTTGAAACATAGGAAGTAGATGAAAGAAGACTATTTATGCCAACAAAGTATAGGTAATAAAGGAATTACAGCACAGTCCAGTCTAGGTTACTTACTATAAGTTTATAAGGAATTTGAAGTCAAAGCCCCTGTGGGGTTTTGGTGTGTTTGCTATTACTCCCTGAACATATATTTTGCTCAGTAACCTCCAAGGGAAAGGATCAATGATACCAAAGCCAATTTTAAATATCTTTAGGCATCCTAGCAAACTTTTTCATATTGGTATTCAGATTTTCCTAAAATCTATCATAATAGTATACAAGTTTTCCTACAATTGGATCTAATTGAACTCTCACAGTTCTGTATTTATGCCAGCCTCATCTGTACAAGTCACAACCATGCTTTCGTATCTGTAAGCCATGGAAAAATAATGTCCCTATTAAGTGTTTCACATCCTCCATTTCTTCTATTCTGACCCAACTGCTTTTGTCAAATTCATTCTTCATGGTTTCTGACTTCTGGTTCTGTATCTCATTTACAGTTAGTTATTGCTCTATAAACACTGGATGTTTATTTGAACCTCTAGTTTTGCATCGTGGTATTTCCTAAGTGAATGTAGCTTGAACTTACTCCTCTGGCTCTTCGCACTTTAGGTTCCATAGTTACGGGGAAATGTTAAATCCTTTAGATCAAGCACATTTTATCCCCAAACAGGAGAAGATTCAGATACTAATTACTTCATCTAATTACTGAACCTTGAATTCTATTCTTGGCTAATCCTTTGTATTGCTTTGCTCATGGCATGTTTTGTTGTTGCTATTGTTTTGTCTTGTTTTCTATGAACTCTCAGTATTAAATGTCCATGTTTTCTCACCCCCACCCCTTTCCCTACTCCTTAACCCTTTCATGTTCCTTTAGATTTATCAATTATCACTATAGTTTCTTACAAACCAAACTCCAAGGCACAAGAAATCACGTAGCTCACTTAGTCGATATATTATTCTTTTATTATTTTTACCACTCAAAATAATAAAAGATAAAAGAACAATAAGTGAATAAAAATAATGCATAATAAATAAAATAATATGTAATTATCATATAAATAATAAAATAAGAATAATGAAAGATAATAATAAAAGAACAATATATTAACTAAGTGAGCTGAAGAGGAAACTACAAATGAAGGCAGCAGAAGATTGAAGGACAATTTTATACAAAGATAGTATTCATCAAAAAATAAAATTTACAATTAAAATAATTTTAATTACTTTAAGAAATTGAGATGAAGACAACTTCTATATTAATATTCTATTAATGGTGGTTATAAACGATAAAAATGCATAAGACAATGTACATATTTATCAACTATGAAAAAATAGTTCTTAAAAAGTAACATTAATAATGATACAGTTAGCAGAATTATTAAAAATACAAGGGAGATTTCAAACATTCTTTATGATAAATTTATCTGGAAAAAACTTCATAATATTCAAAATACTTGCAAAACTCTAACAATGGTACATTTTATATAACTTTACACATACTAAAAAATCTTTGGAAAATGAGTATTTTATTTGATTTCATGCACATATGTATTCACTTGCCACAACACAATATATATACATGATATATATTTATACGCACATACATTGGTTGTCAATATATTCAAATTAGTTATAATTACACAACAAACTGGTTATCAATATACTGATATCATACTCTCTAATCATACTCTGAAATCATACTCTGTATAAAGCATATAGAAAAGCAGGTGGTATGCTCTGAAATCCAGTGATTTTATATTCTACACAGAGGGTCAAAACATACTTCAGATGAACTTTATAATTTCACAATGCACACTATCATCTGGAGCAAATTAATACTGTTGGCACTGAGTGCTGATGAGGGACAAGTTTTGAGTAGAACACATTTGCCTTTTGTATCCTATGTTTTTATTCAATGAACAACTTTCACACGGTTTGAGGAGATGAGGACTTTCCTATGCTATATCTGGAACATAGTGCTTCATTTGCATTGAAATAAGACTAATGACAGTCTGGACCTTTTGCATTCCCTTACAACAATGCTAATGTAATAGAAATATTTATAGCTCAGGCTACTCAAGCAGAGAGCCACAAATGAAGGAGCTTATCACAAACCAAGTGCTTTAGAAATTATAATGTTCACTCCAGTTAATACTACTATAATGCTAACTATTCACTTCTATCATTAATTAGTGTCCAAATCAAAACAAAATTATAAAGATAAAAAAACACAAATTCTGGAGTCAGAAGACCTGGAGTCCAATCCTACCTATCAATTGTGTAGCTTTTGGTAAGTTAATTAACCTCTATGTCTCTTAGTTTTCATATTGCTCAAAATGAGATAAAAATATCTATCTATGGTGCTACAGAGAATAAGTTACATACCACTTGCACTATGTCTAGCACAGTGTTTGGGATATAGTAGGCATTCAATCAACATAAATAAATTTCTTTCTATTTCTACTGTGTCCTCAAAGCAATTCATAATATAGCACAAAACAACGAAGGAATGTTGTATTATACAGAGTTAGCACTCTTTAATAAAGTAAATATTTATGTTTTCAACCACTGAGAAGTGGTTTTTACATTACTATTACTACTTGTAAAAATGAAATAAAAAATTATATATTTAAAGCATAAATTATTAAATGGTTGTGTATACTATTAATGCACCATAAAAATATATTTGTATTACATTACTATATGACTTTTTTCAATCAAAAAATATAAAGCAGGATATTAATAATATAATGAAGGAAATTTAATAGACTGAAGAAATAATAGTGCTACCTAAATTGCAAACTTTAATATCTTAAATAAAAACATTTCAAAGAAAAATAATACACTAATTATACTTACATGTTTCCAATATGCAAGCTTTCCTTTTATATTAGTTTCAGGTTTGAAAAAGAGATCCTTAAGGAGCTTATCTTCATATCCTTTGGTTATGTAAATCCATTTTGTTTCATATCCTCTAATAATTTTTTCCCGATGTTTTTTATGCAAAAACACAGGGCTGAATATAAGGGAAGTGGAAAACTGCTTGTTAGTTTGGTGTCATTAAAAAATGTGAAAATCAGTCATGAGTTCACTTACATCTTAGAAAACATGGTGGTAAATTGAATGTAATAATATATTTATTTTCATTGTATTGTTATATAATGCTACTTAGTAACTAAGGTTTATCCATCAGCAATCATCAGAGGATAAATGCATGCTGAGAATTTTGTCTGATATGAATCTACAAACAATTCTGTACTTACATCTGGCTAAGCATTTTAATAAATAATGGGAAGAAGAACATGTCTAAATTATCTATAGAAACATAAGGTAAGCAGTGTGAAGTTTTTGTTTTTTTTTTTTTTCCAACCTAGTGAAGAAGGAACTTTTAAAATGAGGTTAAGAGTTACTACTATGCCACAAAAATTATATCTGTACTTCATTACAAACTAGGAAATATGCTCTAGAGCAGTATGTCCAACATAATATAAGTCAAAAATAATTTTAAGTTTTTCATTAGACACACTAAGAAAAAGTTTTAAAAACAGGTGAGTTTAATTTTAATACTATGCTTTATTTAACCCAATAGATCAAAAATATTACCCAATAAATGGCATCTACAAGCTGACATCATACTCAATGGTCAAAAACTACATGTTTTCCCTCTAAGATTAAAAACAAGGAAAGGATGTAATCTTTCATGAAACCTACTCAATATTGTACTACAATGCCTACTGGTCTAAGAAGGCAATAAAAAGAAAACCATAGGCCAATCTCACCTTTGAACCCAGGCACAAAAATTCTAAATATTAGTGAAGAGAATCTAAAAATGTAAGCAAAGAATAATAACACTATGATCATGTGTTATAAAACTCACTACATCAACAAATTAGTAGAGGAAAAAAAGTGTGATTATATAAGTAGATACAGGAAAGGCATTGGATAAAATTTAGCAGCCTATCTTTACAGAAAAATCTTTGTAAAACAGGATCCAAAGAAACCACATCAATATCATGGAGGTGATTTACCAAAAATCAGCAACATCCATTCTGTTTGATAAAATTATTTTTTGGAGTAAAATGATGAATGAGGTAGATGGCTACCATTATTACCATTATTACTCAATAGGAGAAATAAAACAAATTAACTGAGGAAAGCAATATTCTCGCTTCTAAGATGTTTTAAGTAGACTCCACCTATTTACTCCTTCATTCAAAATATTTGTATTAATGACATACAAATTAGGATAAAATATACTAAGATAATAAAATTTATAATAGTTTAAATAAGGCCGTTTACTTTCTCATGCTGACCAGTCTAGGTGAGTAGAGTAGCTCTGCTCCATAAAGTCATTCGATTTTGTTTTACCATATCCAAAATCACTGCCATCAGCTACACGATGAACGCATTCTAGCCCACGGAATAAGGAAACGTGGAAACAAAGAGGCAACAATAACAATTTAAGCACATAAAATCAAAGTTGTACTCATTACTTCTGCTCACTTTCCAATGTAACAACAACAAAAAAGTTGTAGTCTGATGAATATACTTAGCCACAAGTGAGAGTGTGAATACAATCTCTAGTTTTCAGTCAATTGCCAAAAGAAGAGAAAAGAATGGATGTTAAAGGGAAAAGTGGTCTTCTGCAAATGCTCAATATGTGCCTTGTGAAGAGAAAAAAAAGTCTCTAACATGATGAAGCTTATATTCTCTACTATGTAGAGATAGATAATATGGAAATAAAACACAAAATATATAATAAGTAAACTGCTTTATACTTAGGCTGGTCTGGGATATTGCTAAGAAGAGACAAGACACAGGGGGCACCACAGAAAAAAAACATTCCAGTCAGAGCAAATATAAAGTGCAAAGAACCAGACAGAAGTATGCTTCATGAGACGAGACCACATTTGGCATGTCTGAAAAACAGAAAGAAGGTCACTGAGATGGAAAGTCATTGCAGAGCTTTGAGCAGAAGAGTGGCTTTGAAAAGGATCAAGTTGGGGAGATGACTTCTGGAATAGAGATGTGAGAAATTCTGTGGAATCTCTTCCCAGTGAAACAATATCTGGTGGGAATTTTTTTTTTAAGTTAAATATCTCTGGAAATTGTCCAAAGGGCATACAGTGAAATAAACATCTATTCAAGAAAATCTATTACATCTCAGTATTAACAGTGAATCTTTGCCATTTAAACCACAATTTTCTCTCGTTTCCTCCCTTCCTCCTTCGACCCCAGTTCAATATGACAGAAGTTCTACCTTGAATAAGTACAGCCGAGAACACAGGATCCCTCTCCCACTGGGTCCTAGTTGAGGACTACGGTATTTTCACAAGAAATGCATAAATTTATCTCGCATCCCAAGCCTACCTACATGTTTCAGAGGTATTATGTCAGGAAAGAATAGTTGAGAGGTCTGGGGCTTTCTTCATCCCTCCAGCTCCCACTGATAGGCAGAAGTTCTAATCAAGGTGCAACAGGTAGAGAATACTGGAGCCCTGGTAGCTCTTATTCCAGATCACTTATAAGATAGCGATTCTGTGCCAGGTGAGGCAAGCTGAGAAGACAAGAGACTGCTGTCACAGCTGAGCATTCTATTTGTGAATGTCACTCTGAAAAAAGTGAACCACTGCCTCCTCCCTCTGATCCAGGACAGTGGCACAGTGATTTTGCCCAAGGATAAATGTAGCCCATATGAACATAGAATCTGAAGTGCTCCCCTCATCCCCTCAAACTGAACTGACTTTATGAAACAGAGTATGGAGAATTTCAAATCTAAAGGCACTGTTAAAAACAATGGAGATTATGGTGTTAAGCAATTAAGAGAAGGATGGTAGTTCCATGAGACTAAAAAGGTAAACTGAAGATCAGGTTGAAATTTTCCAGAGAGAAACAAGAAAAGAGCTAAGAAGAGTACTGGGATTAGACCAAACAGCAAAAACTGGTCTCAAAGATTACCCTGGAAAGGGCCTCAACATAAAATGAATCAGACTGTTAATTTATGTCCCAGAGCATTGTTAAAGACAATAGAGCAATCAACCGGCAATTAGTAAAGGTTGACACTGAGTTTGATACTAAAACAGTTCAGAAGACTTAACAGGGAAATCAGAGAAGACAGTCAGAGAGCCCTGCTTATACCACTGTCCTCCCAAGAGCAACTAGAGCTGGCCAAACAGCTGACTATAGCTGGGGCAAGCTCTGAGGAGCAATATCAGAGGCTGCACAATGCAGGGTAAATAGACTTCACTAAAATAGTTCAGACAAGTTATTAAACAAACAAATCACAAGAAACTCTGGGTGGGGCTACAGTATCCCGGATTATTACGATATAGTACCTAAAATGTCTAATTTTAAACAAAATGTTATTAGACAAAGAAACACAAAAATGTAAACTATATACAAAATAGGGCAGACAACAGAAGCCAACATATAAAGGGCCCAGACAACAGACAAAACAGACAAAGAGTTCAAAGCAGGTATTATAAATATGTTGAAAGAAAATCAAGCTTAAGTAAGTAAATACGCTTAAAAGAAATCAAATACATTTAAAGGCATGATAACAATGCCTTTTCAAATAAAGACTATCAATAAAGACATAAAAATAATTTTACAAAAACAAAAATTTTGCAACTAAGAAGTACAATAACTGAAACAAAAAATTTTACTCCAGTGGCTCAACAGATTATGCAATCTGAAAAACAGAAATAAAATGAAGACAAGTGAGCAGACTCACAAAAAGTTGAGGGATAGGATTGAGTCCACCAGTACAAATAATGGGAGTACAAGAAAATAAGAGAGACAGAGAGAAAAAGGCGGAAAATAAATAAGAGAATAATGGCTAAAAATTCTATAACTTGATTTTGAAAAATTAATCTACACATCCAAGAAGTCCAATGAACATAAAGAGGTCCACATCCAGACACATCATAGTAAAACTATTGAAATCTAAAGACAGAGAAAATCTCGAAAATGTTTTCTTGAAATCAAGAAAAATGATGAGTCACATCCAAAGGAACCCCAATAAAATTAACTATGGCTCTCTTATGAGAAACAATGGAAGCCAGAAGGCAACAGTATGACATTGTCAAAGTTCTGAAAGAAGAAAAAGAAGAAACTCAATCAACAATCTTAAATCCAGAAAATATGATCTTTCAAAACTGAAGGTGAAATAACAATGTTGCCAGATCAATACAAGCTAAAATAATTTACTTCTAGCAGCATGCCTTGTAAGAGCTACTAAAGGAAGTTCTATTTAGGCTGAAGGCAAGAGACCTCCATGTTTTTTAAGATAAAAAAAGCAGAGTGCTGGCAAAGGTAATTAAGTAATTATTAATCGGTATAAATGCATATTTTTTCTCTTAACTAATTGGAAAATTAATTATATAAACATATATATAAACACATAAACCCCCCTCCCTTTATCTCTCTCTATATATACACACACAATTATATATATAATTATATGATTTTGTGTGTATAATTGTATTGTTGGATCTATGACATATAGAAATATATCTGACAATAAAGGCACAAGGAGGCAGGTGAAAGCAAAGTTGGAATAGTGAAACAACCCCAAACGGTAGCTCAAATTCATAAAAATGAAGAGAGCTAAAAATGATAAATAGAAATATTAATATAACAAACTCTATGAATATATCTATTCATCTTTTAGTTTCTTTAAAAAGTTTACAGTTTTATAATGTAATAATTATAGTCACAAACTGTTGGATTTGTAACATGTATAGATGTAATATGTCTAATTTAATAGTACAAAAACTGGGGAAAGAGAATAATGCTATATAGAAGTAACGTTTCCATATCTCACTAGACTTGTTAGTATAAATATGAAGTAGACATGATAAGTTAAAGTGTATATTGTAAGGCCTAATAAAAGCACCAAGATCATGCCTGTAATCGCAGCACTTTGGGAGGCTGAGTCGGGTGGATCAAAAGGTTAGGAGATCGAGACCATCCTGGCTAACATGGTGAAACCCCATCTCTACTACAAATACAAAA